TGAAATAAAATAAACGTGGAGTCTACAGTCAGTTCGAATTATACCCATTGTTGTCGGGGTGACGAGCGAGATCCCAAAAAGCTCACACAAAGGACTTCAAACCCTGAGTTTGGGAAGCCAAAGACTTTTTAGCCCTATGCAAAAGGCAGTGCTTCTGGACACATGTAGAAATAGTGCACAGGGTTCTTGGAGAAATCTAAAACAGAAAGTGGTTGCCCAAGTTCAGCCATCTTGTCTAAGGACCGATGATGAACATATTGACCGGAGTAATCTGAGATTAGGGGAAAATAATAACAATAATAATAATAAATTTTTATTAGTATTTACATTTATCAATTAGCAGCAAACCAAAAGCACAGCGCAAAAAAAAAGGAAAGCCCAGTCCCTAATTTCATAGCTACTTATATCTTAATATATAAGTAATCTTAATATATTATGATATATACTGAATATATCAAAATCAAAAATCAAAAAAAAACTTTACAGTATCTTATGAATCGAAATCTACTTAGGCTAATTATCTTTGACTAATATATTGATTATAAGGAAAAGTTTTATAATTTTTTATAAAAGATGAAAGAACGGCGTTATACCATTTGTAGACACAGTGGGAAAACGATCTTCAAAACAATACTTTACCATGCGGGGGAGGAGAAATAAGACCCCTATATCGAAGATTCAAAGTGTGACATCAGTTCGGTGTTTTATTTTTTGAAAGAGTTATGGAGTGCAGGCATTTAAATTTATATTGTGGTAATAAACGACTGCATGAAACTGTCGAGGTTTATCCATTGATTACCAATGTGCCTCGCGGCGTTTATACGATATGCGATCACATCGCCTGATACCGTAAATCAATCGTAAAGACGACTTTTGCACTCTCTGGTTACATCTTCTTGATCCAAGCAAGGACCATAAACTGCATCTGCATAATTAGAATGAGAAAGTACTAGTGAATCCATTAATCTAATTTTAGGATTATTTTTGAAAAAGTGACGACTGGGATAAATGTTTTTTAAATTCATATAGGCATAGGAGCTTGACACGCAAATCACTATCAAAATTTAGTCCCATATAAGGTCTAATTACCTCTTTAGATTGACCAAATAACATAAAGTAGGATTTGGTTGCATTTATTTCGAGTTGATGCGAGTCTGAGAACTCTTCAACGCGCTTGATATCCTTGATATCGATAATTTCCATAGCCTGCTGGAACTTTTCCGGAAAAAAACGAAAAATATATTTGAGTATCATCAGCATGAATTTTGCAATCCTGTAAACAACTACTCCGATTGCAAAACAGCAGAACATGTCTCTTAACGTCGTTTTGTGTCACTGTAGAAAAACCAAGCAATCTATTAACTTCTTTTTTTGTATTTTGTAAATTCTTATTAGTTTTTCGTCAGGATTATTTGAAAGTTCAGAAATGTCAATTTTGTTATGTTTGTTTACAATGTTTAAATGTCTCAGTTTGCTCCATAATGGTTTTGAGTCCAATTTATTTGCATTAATGAAGTGTTCAAGATATCCTTTCTTCTCTAGCTATATTAGTTTGGTTTCTAATCTGTTTGTAATAGTCCATCGTGTCTTATTTTTAGTTGTCGTGAATTTTGAATAAGCTTTGTTTTTTAATTTAATCATCAATTTTACAGTATCTGTCAACCACGGTTGCTGTTTGTTACCGACTGTGACTTCTCTTTCCAGTGCTAATATATCAAAAATATTTAATAAAATTGTATTCAACGAATATATTTTGTTCTTCAAATATGCTCAAATGGGACTTCAAACAGAAACTGATGTAATAACACTTTTTGTTTTGGCCCAGAGACAGGTTTATTAAAAATAAAATATAAATGATCCGAGATATGTGATCCAAAATATTATGTACCGTACACAAAATTTTCTAGATTATTTTGAATTAGAATATGGTCAATAAAAGTAAAGGTTTTGTTATTAATACTTGTTTTAGGTTACACGTGTGTACGCAATCACAGTAGCTATCAGAGTAATAAGTAGGGACCATTAAATTGATATTCAAGTCACCTAAACACAAGAAAAGTCCGACAGTCTAGTTTCAAAAAGTTATGAGCAATTTTTGAACCTAGAATATCCAGGTGGCCTATAAAGTGATCCAACATTGTATATATCATTATTAATTACCAACTGAATCCCTGATAATTCTACAGTTCTGAATTTGCCCTTCGATACTTGCAAAGTGAGCCGTTAATGATCTTATATTAAACAAAGCAACTGAAAATCCCTTCACGATTAAAACAAAAAAAAAAGAACTAAACTAAAAAAGGAAAAAAACGCTTAGTAGAAATCATGTCCGCATCCGATAACTAAAATTCACAGCTCCAACGCAAAATAAAACTAAGTTGACGTTTATTAATAACAATTGACAATCTTTATGTCGGAAGCGCCATTAATGAAGCTACTCTTGCTAGCTAAACTACAAGAAGCAATTTCAAATTGCGACAATAGAATAACATTGTTTTTTTCTATACTCTAAACACTCATTTAGGTAAAACCAACTGATCTCTGACTGCTGGCGTAAAGAGAAGAAGTAATTTTTCGACCGTCGATGTTTTCTTCGGAAGCGCCTCCATCCACGTTTAAACCGAAATCGCGAATGAAGTAAAGCACGATCGGGTGACGGGATCCCGATCGTCCTCCTGCGAGGAGAGGGCAGCCACAGCAGGATAGACTGCGGAGACTCAACGCACGGACGGCCAAAGTCAACTGCTCATAAGCGTTTAACCCGTCTATTCTTTATCGGTTTAATCCATTCACAAACTCCGGGAGCAAATGAAATCGCGCTTGAAAAGAAACAAAACTACGAACGTTCAATTCAAAAACATTCACTCTTACATTCTAAATTCGTCCGCAAATTTTACAGTAATATAAACATTAAATATAAATTTCCAATGTGAACTGCGAATTTACAATATTTATTTAAGTTACTTCAGTTTTGTAAAACCCCAGCATTTTTCCTTTCGGTATATTAATTTTGCTTTAAAATTCATGTACATGACCCAAAAACCCGGTACTTTTACAGACAATTGCGAAAATTACAAATACTGTTTGAAATATTTGTTAAGTTCCTTAGTTAAATCGCTGCAAAATGAGAGGTTCCTGTAAAATGCGCAACGCCATATTAATGTTTGAACTCTATAAAGGTACTAAACGGAAATAAACATAGTGTTGTGTTAATGTTAGGGGTTGGTAAACTTGGTAAGGAAAACGAATTTTTGTTTTATAAGTTTAATATTATTTCTACGCATTTAACTGTCTTAAAAGACGAAAATATTAATTATAAGCTATAAAATATGTTTCGTTGTACATTTTGTATTCATTGATTTAAAATAATTTAAAAATACAACTCCCACCTTTACCTTTATCGGTATAATGCTAATAGATGGGGGTTTGATTGTTTGCATATGAAATGATTTTTATTTATTATTATAACTATTATTTTTATTCATTAGTAACATTTTTACTTTTAACTGCAATTTTACAACTGATTGTCACCAAAGCCAAGGTTGTTAATCTGGATACATGAAATTAGTTTATTTAATTATATGTTTGCGATTAACTTATCAGTTCCTATTTGAATGTCTATTGAGACTGCAATAATTGGTGATTCTAGCTATAAGATTATGATTTTGACTGTTAACGAAATATTCATCGATAAGCTTCGTTAAAACAATTACTGAAATTCTAAATAAGAATTTTAAAAATAATATATATTTATTTCGTTAAAAGTGATATGCTATCCCCATTCAAATTGAGGTGACTTCAAAATATGCACTTTAAAGACATAAAAAAAGCACTACAAATTTTCCTGTAGATGGAAATTCTATTCCATGTTTTTTGCTGGATATATATATATATATATATATATATATATATATATATATATATATATATATATATATATATAAATATTGTTTTCCAGTCAGACTTACAGAGAATAGAGATAAGTATAGTATTATTAAAAGAAATACAATACCTAAACTGCGTTTTGGTATAGAATTCTTAATTATAATGTTCGTTTTTTATTGCCATAATTATTTTTTGTACACTATGGCAATATATGCAGCACAAGTTTCCGTTAAAATTACGTTGTCTCTAAATCCACAATAGCTGCAATCTTAAAAATCGGTACATAAAAAAAACCTATTGAGTCGAAATATTGTCTATATAATCACAGAATGTTTCAAAAAAGCGCATGGAAATTACAATTTTACAATTACAATTTAACCAAAGAATTTGCTGTGAATTTACAGAGTTTTTTTGTATTAAATTTAGCAACTATAGCAGTAGAAACACCATAATATAAGCAGTAAATTAAAACATATTTACAAAAGTACATTACAATTACAGCAACTTTAGTAGGAAAAATTAAGATAACTCGAAGTAATATAGTTTGTAATAATTTTGCTGTAAATTTACAGACTGCCTTTAAAAATATATAAGTGTTACAGCAAATTTTATCGGTAAAATCGTCGAACAAATATGTAAATTTACTAAAAAAATCTGTAAAAACACTATAAAACGGCTAAAAAATACCATAAAAATAGCTTACATTATACAAGTGAGAGGAGTAGAACTAATTGAACAGAAATATGCCATTTTTACAGACAACAGTAAAACTATAGAAAAATATGACGTATTTTATTTGCTGTAAAATTCCGATATTTTCATTTTGAGTGTACTGGGTAGGTCACTGATGCCGAATTCTTTTACACCTCAAATTATTTAAAAATCAATTGCCATTCTTACGCTTCCATGCAAAATTTACACTCCGACGGAAAAAGTCCAAATGCCGGGTGATCTAGTTTCTTAACTCATTTGGCGTAAATAAAACGACATACATAAAACGGATCATACCGTAAACGTTATCCGGAAAGGCGAGTCCAATTTACCCGCGCCTTCCCAGTCATCCGCTGGGCCTTTAGTCCCGTTCGCGGAACTTCAGATCGTGCTTCGCACGCGTTCGATTCAGGTGACGTCGATCCTCAACCGTCCGACACTCCGATTCCGCGTTATAGAGCAAACCGTACGAGACGGGATAAGAGAACTGTTGTCGGTCGTCCAGGTCCGAAACGTCGCGAATGGCGCGGGTGTTGTTGTTGGTGTGTGGTTTGGCGTTGGCGGCGAGGGCTGCCACGGTGGTGACTCTGGGTACCGGGGAACCGCCACTCAAGGGCGATCAGCAGGGGGAAACTTGTCAGCCGGATAAGCTCACCGTTTACAAGATGGTCCTGCACACGTTCTGGAGCAGGGAGAGTTTCCCCAAACATTATCCGGACTGGAGACCGCCCGCTCAATGGTCCAAAGTTATCGGTGAGTACCTGTCGCCTTGAAATTTGATGAGCCTTATTGGTCTTAGTTTCACTATTTGCTGCCATTAATCAACTACTTCATTAAATCCCAATGACTAGGTTACGCCCTCTTAAAACGTACTCTCAGAATAAAAAAAAAAACGTTGTAAAATTCCAAAAAAAAAAAATCGCTAACGATTAATAAAATTAAATATAATTTTGCTTCATTGGTACTGCAATAAGACGCAATATGATTCTTGTTGAGATTTTTGAAGACTCGTAAATTGTACTATATGTGAATGGTCGTTCAACATCTGCATCTTTTGGACATTTTGCTATTTAAATGTTGCTGTTATTTTTATACCTTTTTTTGATTTATTGGTACTTCTGAATAATATAGGTCACATGGGTCTATGATGCATTTTTTAGGACCGCTTGTAGGTAGTTCGTTAAGATCTCTCAACGAAGCAACTGCATTGTTATTTTGTTTTAACAAACTGCACTAACATTTTTTAAATGTGTTGAATCCTTTTATTCTAAACAGTAAAACTTCAACAATCCTATAATGTCTTCTTCAACCGCGTCTGCATTTCCCTTCAAATGATAATGCCATATAGCCATAAAGCCATCATTATAAATTGTAAGGAAAATTATTTTTTTAGATAACGCTATCTTTAGAGCAGAAAGTCCTACTTTTTAGTTTCGCGCCCATAATTGTAACAGGTTTTCATGTAAGATACAATATTTTCATTGGAATTAAATTTGCACCGACTTTGTATTAATAATATCAACATTGTGTTTACGGTTTAGTGAAAGATTAACACATGAAAAAAAAAAAGAAATAAAAATCGGCTTTTCAAATAAAACGAAGAGATTTTCTTTCAATCATACCTAATTGCCTTTGATTATGTTTTGGTAATAAAATGAAAGAAAATTATTAGGAATGTTTGGGTGTGATCTTTCACCCATTCTTGGTTGCACTGTCCTGTAATGTTTAATTTAAAAAATGAACCTCTTAAAACCAACAGGAAAATGATTACAAAAAGTTGGAAACGCAGAAAATGGAAACGGCGGTCACAAGTGGACCAAACTCCAGTCAAAACTGTAGCGTTTTAATTGCTACCATAATCATAAATTAAATTTTAGAACATGTCAATTTACTACATCCAGCAATGAACTAAATAAAGATGTCATGCTATGAAGTAACATTACAATTGCTCATACTGGACTTTTCCAAGGATGAGTCTTTATCCATTTGTTTTATTGACTGGACAAAGTCACATTACATGGCATTTCTTTTTGGAATGTTCAAGAAATCCTTTGATTAATGTAGTCGTCTTATTATTATAAGAGAACGGAAAAACGTCATTTTTTAATAAGCGAGTAATAATTCGTTTTGAACATAGTTCTGTTGAATGCAAATATGAAATATATTAAATATAGCAAAAAAGAAAATCGTTGATGTTTTAATGTGACTAAAGTAGTAATTTATAAACAAATCAATATCAATCAATTTTCAAACATAACTAAAATGTTATATTTTGATTAGTTCAATTGTAGAAAAGAGTTGATTTATTACTAGATCATTTTTTCTGCATTTTATTTTTCTGAGCGTACTTACTAATTTTGAGTACTTGATACTGCCTTTTCGTATTGGTCTAATGATTGTTGTTGGAATAACAAAATTCGTCTAATATATACCAGGGAACTATCTAAAAATTGGAGGCATTTTATGATCAAAAGGATAATCAGGGTACTAGAGAGGAACCTAAACTTGAAAGGAAGTCCATTGGTCTTTTGTTTTCAAACCCTACCCAAAACCAGTACCTTACAATTTCGACTAATGTCGACTGTTTTTAAGTTAAAAAAAAAAGCTAACAAATTTTTTTTCTCGTATTTTCGTTATGACCTAAAGTTGCGTTTTTTATGCGTTCATAGTCGGCTATGAAGTAATTGAATATTTAGATATTTAATTAATTAAATAAAATGGTAAATTAATTATTTAATTTAATTAAATTTAATTTTCCACGATTTCATTGTTTATCTCGCAGGTGGGGATGTCATTCAAAATAACATGGAAAAACGTGTGGCATAACAAAACAAACTAAAAGTATCTTAGAAAGTGAGAAATGAATTATTTAGTTCGCCATGGTTTCTATAAAAAGGTTATAGAAAAAGTACTATTCTGATGGTGGTTTTAACTGGTACCCGCGTGATCGATACATAACCAGCAATAACGTTTATGGTAGAAAACAGTAAAATGTCAAAATCTATTGGTATCGTATTGTTTAATATCAACGTATTTCTTAAATTAATTTAAACAAAGAATGTCTCATGTGAACATGGAACATACGCCACTACAATGTTGATATTGTATTTTAAAACACTATACAGGGTGTTTAAAAACAAATGTGAAAAACTTAATGGGGTGGATCCTTGTTTAAAATAATTATTGGGTTGTTCGGAAAGTCATTTCGTTTTTTTAGGGGAACATGAAAGACAGTTTTCGTATAATGAATAAATATTTTATTAAATTATATATTGGCCATTCTGGTCCAACACCTTTTGCCATCTTTCTGGCAGTAACATAATTCCCCTCTCATAAAAGTTTTGGTCCTTGCTGGCAAAAAACTGGTTCAGGTGGTTTTTGACATCTTCATTTGAGGTAAAGGTTTTGCCATCCAAAAAATTTGGCAGGGACCGGAACAAATAGTAGTCAGAATTCGCCAGATCTGGAGAATATGGTGGATGTTGCAGTACGTCCCATTCAAGCTGTAAAAGTTTTTGGCGAGTGACCAAACTTGTGTGAGGTCTCGCATTATCCTGGTGGAACACTACACCCTTCCTGTTGATTAATTCGGGCCTCTTCTCTTTAAGTGAATCATTCAATTTGTCCAGTTGATGACAATAGACTTCTGAATTAATCGTTGTATTGTCTGGCAAAAGCTCAAAAAAAAACGATTCCTTTGACATCCCACCAAACGGAGAGCATCATCTTTTTTTGGTGAATGTTGGCTTTTGACACGCTTTGAGCCGGTTCATCTTTTCCGCTCCATGACCTCTTGCGTTTAACATTGTTGTATACAACCCATTTTTCGTCCCCAGTAATAATCCGCTTCAAAAATGGATCATTTTCTTGACGTTTGAGGAGCGAATCACACATGTCAACGCGACGACACAAATTTCGCTCCGTAAGGACATGGGGCACCCACACATCGAGCTTCGAGGTTAAGCCCATGCCTTTCAAATGGCCATAAACAGTCGAATTCGACAAATTTAATCTCTCACCGATCTCTCGTGTGGTTATTCGCCGATTTGCATCAACTAATGCCTTTATCGCATCTTTGTCAGCTTCGACCGGCCTTCCAGACCGTGGTGCATCTTCGACATCAAAATTGCCGGATCGAAATTTTGCAAACCAGTTCTGGCACTGGCGTACTGTTAACACGCCTTCTCCATACACATCCGTCAATTTTTTTCTCGCTTGGACAGCATTTTTACCTTTTCTGAAGTAAAAAAGTAAAATATGACGAAAATGCTGCTTATTGCTCTCCATATTTAAAAGGGCACCAACAAAAAACTACTGCGTAGAATTAATAGAACTTTTTCACACACAAGCCTTGCAATATCAGCTCTCAAGACATATAATGGTTATGCGGCTTAAGTGTAAAGTTGGTTTCGAAAAAACGTAATTAAGTCCTCTGACGGGAAAAAACGAAATGACTTTCCGAACAACTTTATAAATATTAGGGATATATATTGTAAGGGATTAAACTAGATCTATCATTCTTCTTAACTAAACTGCTCAGTGAGCTCTCTGGACCTAACAAGTCCGTTTCACAAAACGTTTGACAGCATAAGGGATAGTTTCCTCGGTTGTATTGTCCGCCTGTCCTTATAATTCTTCTTGTCCCATTATTTTATATACCTTTAAAAAAATATTTGTCTTATTTTTCCGTAAAACAGAGGACCTTAACGGCATTTTCACCACCCCGTATCATTTTAATTTAGATATTGTGTCTCATTATCACAAACGAATCAATATTTTGCGAGCACCCAGTATAATATGCGGAAAATGTAAAAATTGTAACAATTGCAGACGTTAAAACCAAATTCCGCCAATTGTCAGTTAGGGCCATTTAGTCAGAAAAATGGCAATTTTCAGTTATTTGCCCATAACTGCGACACGTTTAACTAACCAAAACTAATCAAAACTGGCTACAACCTCAGCTGTCTCAAGCAAGACAGTTTAGGAGTGTTTGCCGGAGCTTCGCAACCATCCAAATTTTAAAGGAACAAAAATATATTCCCCATAATGAAATAAGTTTCATAAGAATTTGCTATGTAGCATATCAATAAAGTCGTAAAAATTTTTTACTCAAACTGAAAACGAAAAAATAATAAACTAACTGAAAAAATCATGGCAACCGACAAAATACGGGACTATAACACATTCTCTCCCTTGAGAGGGCTTTCAATGGCGCTTGTGCAAGAGGATGATCGAAATTATATTTATTAGAAATCACATTTCTGAACATTTTTCTGCAAATTTCAGTAGAGTAGTTATCCAACCAAACAACGTTCGAGTTGCTACAGCTCTAAATTAAAAAATTAGCGGGCTACCGGACAACATTCCTCCGTTATATTAGATATTGACAATAATTTATAACAAATCATTAGAAATATAATTCTTTCCAAAATGAAACTTTTGAAACTTTCGGTTATAATCATATTTCCTCCCCATTCAATGAGTAGATCCATTGATTCTACTCTCATATGTTTTACTGAATATATTCCTGAATAAATGGATCCGCGGGTGTAGGTTGATACCATCCACACCAATATTAGCAAGGGCTTCGACAAAGTGAACCATACAATTTTGGCTGGGAGGGTTACTGATATCGCGGTTGGGTTACACATGATTGCTATTCCTTCCATTTCAGCCATCTTGGACTTTTACTTTTTAACATTGACATTAATGAAATGCTACTTTGTGCTCAGCACCGTTTTGCTGACTGTCTC